ATCGCTCTAGCACGAGCAGTCTTTCCTCCTGTGCACTGGAGGGCTTAACCCCCCAAACCCTAACCCACCAAACCCTACCCCCTAAACCCTAAACCCTAAACCCTAACCCACCAAGCCCTACCCCCCTAAACCCTAAACCCTAAACCCTAAACCCTAAACCCTAAACCCTAACCCACCAAGTCCTACCCCCCTAAACCCTAAACCCTAAACCCTAAACCCTAAACCCTAAACCGTACCAGTAGCGACTGCTCTAGCTAGAGCAGTTTTGCCTGTGCCTGGGGGCCCCACAAGCAAAATCCCTCGAGGGGGCCTCGCACCCAACTTTATAAATTTCTGAGGGCTTCGCAGACAAACAATTGCTTCTTCTAGTTCTTGCTTCGCTTCTTCTAACCCTAAAGAAAAGATAATTATAAACATAAATATATATATATAATATAAATATAAATATAAATATAAATATAAATATAAATATAAATATAAATATAAATATAAATCAAGACATGCAAAAAGAAACGAAAGAAAACGCAAAAAATTAAAGAAGGATGAAGATAATAGATGCTGCACTTGCAGCAGCAGCAACAGCAGAAGCAGCAGCAGCAGCAACAACAGCAGCAGCAACAGCAGGGATATTATCAACAGCAGCAACACCACCACCACCACCACCAGCAACAGCACTAGCAGCAGCAGCAACAGCAGCAGCAACAGCAGCAGCAACACTAGCAGCAGCAGCACTAGCAGCAGCAGCACTAGCAGCAGCAGCAGCAGCAAGAGCAGCAGCAGCAGCAGACCTGCAAGTTCACTGAATCGAATTGGTTTAAATTTATACGGCCGTACAACGTGACGATCTGTAGGCGGCTCTGCAGCACCTGCAGCAGCAGCAGCAGCAGCAGCAGCAATAGTAGCAGCAGCAGCAAAAGCAGCAAAAGAATTTCATTTCCATATCTTATATTATGTCTCTTGTGCCTCAATCTGTCTCTCTATTTCCTTGTCTCTTGCTGCTGCTGCTGCTGCTGCTGCTGCTGCTGCAGTAAGTGTCTCCTTTTCTTACTGTCTCCAGGCCCCCTAATTCTGCCCCCATGTCTGTGGGGCCCCACACCTGGGGGGACCCCTGGGGGGCCCCCCGGGGGCCCCCCTGGGGGCCCCCTGAATGCATCTTCATCTGTTATTTCGCCTATCAGATTGAGAGCTAAGAAAGAGACGATGAACTGCCAGAGAGAGAGCCCCACACATATGCCTGCAGCAAATGCAAACAACCACCTTCCTTTGCTGCTGCTGCTGCTGCTGCTGCTGCTGCTGCTGTTCCTGCTGCTGCTGCTGCTGCTGCTGCTGCGGTGGGCACCACGGGGGCCCCCACGTAGCCTCGTAGACACCATATCATTACTTGAAGAAGAAGGAGGGGGCCCCGGGGGGCCCTGAGATAATAAAGAAGGCATTAAAAAGAAGAATAAGAAGTAAACAATAAAGCACAAGTTATGCTGCTGCTGCTGCTGCTGCTGTTGCTGCTGCTGCTGCAGAGGCGGCGGTGGTGGTTTCCTCCCCTTGTGCGTCGGGGAGGAATGTTCCTGTTGCTGTTATTGTTGTTGCTGCTGTTGTTGTTATTGCTGCTGCTGCTGCTGCTGCTGCTGCTGCTGCGTCTCTGCTGCGGTAATGGGGGGCCCCCGGGGCCCCTTAAGAGGGAGAGAGAGGGGCCCCCAGGTGAATATAACAGAGAGTCAACAGGATAATAAAAAGAAGATAAAAAGCAAGAAAAACATATGCGCAAACACCACACGCTGCTGCTGCTGCTGCTGTTGCTGCAGCAGCAGTAGCAGCAGCAGCAGCAAAATAAAGAGCCCCTAAGACCGCACTCCACTAAGGGGGGCCCCCACGGGGCCCCCAGGGGCCCCCTGTCATCAAAAGAATAAATATAGACTTTAAAAATTATTTTGAATTGAAACAATATACAGATTCTATTATAAAACCTAAACCCTAAACCCTAAACCCTAAACCCTAAACCCTTCTCGTAATCCCCGTGTCTCGATTGGGCCTGAAGGCAATCTAAGGTTTAGGGTTTAGGGTTTAGGGTTTAGGGGCTTATGTAGTGGTTTGATCTCCTCCTTTAAATAATTATTGTAGTTATATATTCTAGGGTTTACGAGTCGTGCCCCAGGGCTTAGGGTTTAGGGTTTGGGTTTAGGGTTTAGGGTTTAGTGTTTAGAGGCATAGATGTAGCCTGTGCCTCTGTCTTGCTGCAGCAACAGCAGCAGCAACAGCAGCAGTATTTGAAATAGCTGCAACAGCAGTAATAGCAACAACTTCAGCATCAATAGAGCAGCAACAGCAGCAGCAACAATAGCTGCAGCAGCAACACTAGCATCAGCAGCAAAAACAGCAGCACCTGAAACAGCAACAATAGCAGAACCTGCAGCAGCAGCAGCAACAGAAATTTCAACAGCAGCAGCAGCAAAGAGAGCGTCTTATGCTGCAACTTTAGATGCCCTTGGGTTTAGGGTTTAGGGTTTAGGGTTTAGGGTTTAGGGTTTTATGGTTTGCAGCCCCATCGAGGCAAAGCGCCCACACGATCCTGAATATCTTCGTTAATGCAGCAACAGCAACAGGAGCAGCAACAGCAGCAGCAACAGCAGCAGCAACAGCAGCAGCAACAGCAGCAGCAACAGCAGCAGCAAGGGAACGGCAACTTTCAGCACCAAGAGCAGCTGCAAGATCAGCAGCAGCAACAGCAGCAACAGCAACAGCAGCAGCTGGTGCAGCAGGCCCAGCAGCAAACCTCAGAGTGCTCCGTTGCTGCTGCCTCTGCTGCTGCCTCATTTGCTGTTTCTGCTTTGTGGCAGCAACAGCAACAGCAGCAGCAGCAACAGCAGCAGCAGGATCAGCAGCAGCAGGATCAGCAGCAGCAGCAGCAGCGGCAAAGCTTCGTGTCTCTTCTGCTGCCAGAGCGTTGCAATCTTATTTGCTGCTCCGTCTATGTTTCTTGGGGGGCCCTTGAGGGGTGGGTGCAGCAAAGAGGCCCCTGCTGCGCTGCAGCAGCAGCAGCAGGGGCTTGGAATGCTTGCCGAGGGTTTAGGGGAGGGGCCCCTGCAGCTGCTGCTGCTGAGGATGTGCTGCTGCTGCTGCTGCAGCAGCAGCAGCAGAAAAAAGCTGCAGCAGCTGACCGCTTGCTGTTAGCCTTGGGGATACTGCCAGCAGCAACAACGCGGCAGCAGCTGCTTTCTTTAGAGGTGCTGCTGCTGCAGCAGCAGCAGTTGCTGCTGCAGCAGCACGGCTTATCACCATGCGACCAGCCGCAGCAGCAGCACCACCAACAACACCAGCAGCAGCAACACCAGCAGCAGCAGCAGCTGCAGCAAGAGCAGCAATCTAATTTAACAAGAGGCCCTTCTTCCTCGCCTCCTGGGGGCCCCCAAAGAGCAGCAGCAGCTAGAGGGGGGGCCCCCTGCTGCTTGCTGCTGCAGCAGTACGGCTCGGAAAAGGTTATTGCTGCCAGCGAAGAGACACAAGAAAACAAGCAGGGGCCCCAAATAGAAACATCTGCTGCTGCTGCTGTGAGTCGCGATGTTGGTGCTGCAGCAACAGCTGCAGCAAAAGCAGCAGGAGCAGCACCTGCTGCAGCAGCTGAAGGTGCAGCTCCCGCTGCAGGCTGTACGCTTTCTATAGCAGCACCTCAATGTTCATCTACAGCAGCAGCAGCAGAAGCAGGAGCAGCAACAGCAGCACCAGGAGCAACAGCAGGTGCAGAGACATCTTTTGTCTCTCTTTCTGAGTTTGTTGCTGCTGCAGCAACAGCAGCAGCAAAACGTCGCCGTCTGCGTCTGCTAAAGTTTATATTTCTTTGTAAATCTCTCCTTAATATTTTGCTTGCCTCAGCACCTTCAGCTTCTGCTGCTGCTGCTGCTGCTGAAGGGGGCCCTCATATAAACCCTCTTCCCTACCCTCGGGGGGCCCCCAAGGGGGCCCCCATGGGGGCCCCTATGAAGGCCCCTAAGGGGGCCCCTGTAGGGGCCCCTATGAGGGCCTCTGAGGGGGCTTCTGGGGGGGCCCCCCTAGAGGCCTCTGGAGGCTCACCTCTGGGGGGCCCCCCAGAAGAAGGGGCCCCCCCGGTTGCCCCTGTGGGGGCCCCTATGGAGGCCCCTGTGGGGGCCCTTATGGAGGCCCCTATGGGGGCCCCTATGGGGGCCCCTGAGAGGGCCTCAGTGGGGGCCCCTGTGGGGGCCCCTGAGAAGGCCTCAGTGGGGGCCCCAGTGGGGGCCCCTATAGGGGCCCCCACTGAGGCCTCTGCTAGTAAGAGGGGCCCCATGGAGTCCTTTCTGGAGTCTCATAGGGGGGCCCCTTCTTCTATAGGCGGCGCTGATGCGGTTGACCCGTCTCCTTTAATAGAGAGCGAGGCCCTAGAAGA